AGCAGGAGGAGCGGGTCGACCTCCGCGAGGCGCTCGCGCAGCTCCGCGCGCTTCGCGTCGCCGCGGAACTCGTCGGTCAGCGGCAGGACGATGGTCGTGCCGTCGCGGGGCGGTGCGGCGAGGCCGGCCGCGGCGAGCCACGACGCGAGCTCCGGCGACGGCGGCCCGCGGCACGGCGCCGGCACGACCATGTGCTCGTCGAGCGCGAAGGCGTAGCCGTTCGAGTGGACCTCCGGCCGCGACGAGACGCGGAAGACGCTCTTGAAGCCGATGCCCTTCTGGCCGATGTAGCCCGAGCCGCCGGCGCCCTTGGACGACGCGCCGACGTGGCAGAGCGCGCGCACGTGCCGCGCGCGGAAGCCGCGCTCGTTGTTGCGCACGACGACGGCCTCCGGCGACGCGTCGAAGACGATCGTCGGCGCCGCCGAGGGCGCGTAGTCGTTGTCGTCCGCGTTCTGCAGGAGCTCGAGGATGAAGTGCGAGTCCGACGAGTAGATGTCGCGCGCGATGACCTTGAGCGCGTTGTCGAGCATCTGGAGCTGGCCGCTCTGCGAGACGTCGATGCGCGCGTCGTCGGTCTCGAGGCCGAAGCCCGCGCGGATCGACGCGAGGACGGCCCCGGGAGGCTCGTCGTCGCGCGCGGCGCGCTCCGGCTCGGACGACGCCGCCGAGGCGTCGTCCGGGGGCGCGTCGAGCGGTGCGGCCGCCTCCGGCGTCGTGACCTCCGGCGCGTCCGGCGCCGACGCCTCGGCCGGAGCGGCGGCTCCGACGTCCGCGCGCTTCGGCGGCGTCGGCGCCGCCGCCGCGGCCGTCTCGGGCGTCCGTTCCGGGTCGACGGCCGCCCAGTAATCCTCGAGGAGCGTGGGGTAGACGCGGGCGCCGTCGCAGGCCTCGGCGCGGACGGCGAGGTCTCGGAGCGCGTCGACGAGGCCGGCGCGCTTCGCGACCGCGAGCAGGTCGCGCTCCGTCGCCCGCGCGATCCCCCGCGCGGCCTCGAGCGCGGGCAGGAGCGCGTCGGCGACGGGCGGGCGGAGCGGCGGCGGCGCGGCGGCGATGACCTCGCAGGCGAGCGCGACGGCGTCGCCGCCGCTGCCGCCGAGG